GGTCCATTTCAGTTTGTTTTGACTGTACAGATTTAGTGTGACTGTAATTTACGTAGTTTTATTTATTTTTGGGATAAAACAATTACCTATATTAAAAATGATAGGAATCGATTCAGTAAACGATTCTGAACAAACTACTTTCTCAAAGTGCGTTAATTATGTTAATGTTATGTTTACTTTTCTAACAGGTGACGTACATCGTTATTCACAGAACATCATAATTAACATTCTGCGTTAAATACATTTTAAATGAAGGAGAGCATTTAAACGAGTGACTCGAAATTCAAATTCAAGGTTTTAAACAATGAATGAACAATGATGGTTATTAAATACTAAGTGACTGCAGTTCGGCGACAGTGGTGTTCTCAAAGTCCGAAAACGAAAACAGCGACTAAACACTAATTTTGTTAACCATTTATTTAAAACCAACAGCGTAATATTGTTTCAGCGACCTACTTTCTGTTACAGCAACAGCATTATTTATTAAACATTTATGTTATCGTTTTTTGTAAACTGAGCTGTTTTTTTATTCAAAATGAGCTGATTAATAAAGTGAAACATCACCAAGAATAATCATTTTTGGTGGTAAGTGGAAGTTGTGGCCCATAGATATCTACATCTATCCTCAATTAAGAAACAAAATGCAGATGAGTTGTCACCACTGAGGACTAAGTTAGAATGCCTTGTTTCGAGTAAAAAGGGTCTCCGGTTCGCTACACTTACCGTACAACAGCATTATGCTGCTATTTTACGCTGGTATTCTGCGAGAGCGTGGTCTTTCTCCGGTTGAGCCGACCCATTCTCGCTACAACAACAATATAGTTGTGTCATAGCTCTACCACGTATAAATCTTGCTGAGCATCTTATTATGTATAGATAACAACATTAGCCTGAATTCTATATATATCTTTTGTTATATTATGTACCTATACATGTTTGTGGATACTTCATAACCAGAAAACAAGATTGTACAACCAGTGCGTGTTGCCAGTGACGACTTATGGGTCTGAGACGTGGTCCTTCACTGCTGGCCGTATGAGGAGGCTCAAGGTCGCTCAGTGAACTATGAAGAGGGCTATGCTTGGGGTTTCTCTGCGTGATAAACTTATAAATGAGGATATCCGCACTAGAACTAGAGTGACCGACATAGCCCAACGTATTGGTAAGCTGGTGTGACAATGGGCCGGCCATATAGCTCGAAGAACCGATAACCGATGGGGCAAAAAAGTTCTCGAGTGGCAGCCTCGTACCGGTAGGTGAAGTGTAGGGTGACCTCCCCACTAGATGAAGTGACGACCTAGGAAGACATGCAGGAAGTCGATGGATACAGGTGACTCAGGACCGTGCTTTGTGGCATGATGATGATGATACATGTTCGCGGATTTATCCGTGCCTTATCCTACTCGTAATCGCATTCAATATTTATCGTCACTTTCTCAGTAGTTTAGTTGCTCATTTATTTTTTACTAGCTATTCCCCGCGACATCATCTGCTTCAATTTATTACTTTACGGTTTTATTATTTTTGCGCGGAACCCTTATTCTTTTTAAAAATTTAAAGTAGCCTTATTCCTTATAACATCAGTTATCTGCCAGTGAAAGTTCCGTCAAAATCGGTTCATCCGTTTCGGAGATTAGCCGGAAGAAACAGACAGAGAGAATTAAAAAAAAAAGTATTTTTGGTGTAAAGTACCGTTTTTACTTTTATAAGCATTTAGTAAAAAAAGCTATAATTTTCACATTATAAGCAGACACTTCAATTTTGTTTATTTGTATAGATATCACTCTCCAATATTCATTTAGATATTGCTACAAGTGCATTGATTTAATAAAAAAAAAAAAAAATTATTTAACTCAATGTACAAGTGTATGTCATTGATAAAAATGATTAAAAATACAATGTAAATATGTATCTGCATTTATATAAATAATACAATTTGATAAAATCGTATAAATAATATAATTCTTATTAATTTATTTAGTATAAATATTGGCCTTGGATGTCAGTGCAAAGTCCATTTTAATGAGCGTGGGTATAAATGGATACTATAAAGATGTTTGTCGCTTGAACTCGGAATTCCAAAAAAAAGTCAATCAGTAGGATATAGGTTTGGTGTTAACGGTGGGCGACGGAATTACAAATTATAGCTCAATTACTTAAATTAGAGAAAGTTTTAGAAATTAATTAATTTAAAAATTTCCCTTGTATTTCCCTTGCAGCGTGTTTCGTGGAGAAAAGTAGCTGTGATTAGAGCAATTGAGAAGTTTTCGTGTCCCGCACGGTACGTTGTATATTGTATGGCAAATAAAAAAATATGCCTACCCGTATTTACGTTTGTCTCCATAATACAGGATAAATCCAATTAAAAGGATTTTTATTTGATTAAACTACAAGCAACGAAAATTTTTCTGAAAGTTTTTTCTTATATAAATCATAATATGTATTGTTTTTTTTGTAATATAAAACCAGATTTGTTTGATTACTAAACAGTTTTCATTCTAACTTTCCAACGTTTTTATGGTAAATAAATTATCATTGGAATTTTTAACAATGTAAACATACTAGTGTTTGCATATTTTATGCATTCGCCTTGTGAAAAAACCCCATGGTGTATTGGTATTGTGAGTTAGCAAATATTTGTATAAAATTGTTCATTAACCGTCACGATTGTTAGGAAATCGCACGCACACACATGTCTTGAAACACATCTACTGTGTATCTGTACATTACTTTAAGAATACATATTATATTATAATATGCACATTTAAATATGTTTAGTTCTTATAAAATGTCCAAATTGGCTAATGTCTTAGTTCTTTACCTCTCTATCTATATACTCAAATAATATCTCAATATCACAGTTGTTTTTATATAGCAAAGGATGTGGGAGCCAAATTAGATGGCGAGGGTAGATAAAGTATAAAGAAGCGATAGGAAACTTAGCCACCCAGCGCCAAAAGAATATCGGTTTAACATTTCTTATCTTTCTAGGCTGAAAATATTTCATTGAGGATTCATTTCCAATATTCAATTATCCTTATAGGCCTAAGCATAAACCCACTGCTACTAGTATCTACACTGACATACCACTGGCTCGGCTGACATATCACACATCATGACATATCAGTGGAGCCAGTCTTCAGATTAAGTAAGCCACTAGTGTAGATAACAGCGGGCTTATGTAGGTCCATGAGACTTAGGTCTCAGGCGGTAATATTAAAAAGGTGACTTAATTCCAAAACCGATTGAGCTTTTCGACTACTGCTCGTATTACGCATTTCAAAAATCGCTTTTCTTTTTTATTATTCGATTTCAAATAATTAATAAATACCTTTACGAAACATGAGGGCGTATATCGCGCTGAGTTAAAAGCTCCGTATGTAAGTATTTTCCAAATAAACAAAAGAGGATGGGGAGTTAATACTTGTATTTGGTATGGCTTTTTGTGTCGCGGTGTACATAGAGTGTTGTAATAGTAAGTATTTCGCCAACATTACCTATACGTGGTGCACACTGTTGTTGTAGTACGCGGCCATGACAGTCGTCTGATGAAGAAAACTCCATACAAAAAACGCTTAACTTAAATTACCAACATGTCTTATCAGCTCTACACTCGTCGACTGACAGCCCTGTCGTGCCCAACCGTGGCAAATATGGCCCCTATCAGCACTTCGCTCACCAACTGACAACCCTGCCTTGCCTTACTGCAGTAAATGTACATAGAGTATGACCTATCAACAATACACTCACAAACAGTCCTGTCCTGTGGTGCCCTAGCGTGGTCGGTATGATTATCAGCTTTACACTCGCCAACCGACAGCCTTCTCGTGCCCTTAGGTGAGTGTTAACTTTGATTTATCAGCTATATAATCGACAAATTAAAACCATTAAATTTCCTTAGTGAGTATGGGCAAATATTATCTCCTGACATATATATACGAGTTGTAGTATTCGTGGAGAAATAAATGCTCACTTGTGGACTTAAAAAAAGACTGTGGATGTGTGATATGTGACATGAATACGTAATGTTTAATTATTAATATAATAATGTCAGTTTAGAAAATAATAATAATAATAATAATATATGATAACTGATACTACCACTCTTACTAATGCGGACAAGGAGAAAATAGGAAAAAAATTAATACTACGTCAATTTGTTTATGGTTTTTATATTTAAAAGGACCAGCGACGAGTAAAATCGAATTTCCGACTCATTAGCTTATGTGATCGTCAATATGTCCGCGTAGCGTGACGATTTCTCGAATCCCTCGCAAAACGAAAGTTTCCTATGTCCGAAATTGAATTTGAAGGGCTTAGAAGAAGAATAGTAATTGTAAGTTAATCTCAATGAAGTTTTTCAGCCGTGCGTGTCAAAGATACATGGACGCTCGATCAGACACAAATTCAAAAACCAACTATCGGCTGGGATCTTGATCGTGTACTTCTCCACTAAGGCTCGATTGCTGATCATATGTTTTTTTATTGAGCAATGTGACATCGAGCACACAGTCCACCTGATGGAAAATGGATGCTGTATCCAGAGACATCTACATTTATCCTCAATTAAGAATCAAAATACAGATGCATTGCACCCCGAGGACTAATATGGAATTTCTCGTTTCCACTAAACACTCTACACTCACCATACAAAACACAGCAGAATTAAGCTATTATTTTACGCTGGTATTATGTGAGAGCGTGGTCCTACCCCTATCGAGCCAACCCATTCATGCTACAACCATGATTTAGCTGCAGCTTTAGCTGCCTCTACTGCGTATAAAAATAGTCCCAGAGTTAAAAATCTTATAAAAAGTAGCAAACTTTGAAGTAAAAATCGTAGTGCATAATAAAATATTTTATTAAAATATTAGTATAAAACGAGGATTAAACAGCACTTCTTAACAAGCGACGCAGATTGACATCACAGATAAATTATATCAAATTTCTTTAACTTCAACACATTCATTTAATACTTTTTAAGCGGCTTTTAATGTTGTTTAGCGTCCGTCTCCCCAACCGCCACCGACGATTCCGCCTCCGATGATTCCACCTCCTATTAAGCCGCCACCAGGTCTCCAGCCGCCTCCAGGACCCCAGCCACCCCCGGGACCCCAACCGTAGCCTTTGCCTCCCCAGCCATAGCCTCCCCAACCTCGACCGGCCCAAGCGCGTCCTCCCCAACCCGGGCCACCCCAACCATATCGTGATTCTTGTGGCTCCAGTATGTCAGCAGCGGGTTGCAACTGCAGTTCCTCATTTTCTGGCATTGGAAGTGCCAAGGCGTAGGCAAGGCAACATATTACTAGCGTTGTATACAAAATCTGTGAATAAAAGCATAACACTGTATTTTTTACTAATTTAGGCCAGCACTTAACTATAATACCTGATGGTAAGTGATGTACGTAGCCTAAGATGGTGAAGCACACTGACTTGACAAAATCTTATTCACTCTTGCCTTGAAGACACCCACATTGTAAGCGGATGGAAAGACAGATGCTGGCAACTTATTTCACTCCTTTACACAAGGATCGTTACGAAGAAATAGACAACGAAAGGGTGGGAACTGGCCGAACGTCTGCTTGTCGGATGGTGAAAGGGAGAGGGAGGAATTAAGTCATGCAATTCCTATCCACACTCTTCGCATTACATCCTGTAGAAAACCGAAAGGCTGGCTTCTTTGCGTCTGTGATTGTGGCTGGCGAGATTGGTTTAACCAGATTCGGGTTACCAATAAGTATAACTAATTTTAAAGAACTTTAACCGAGTGTTGAAAAAAATGTTTTTACTAATAACAACTTTCTAACTATCGTAATATTATTTGTATTTTATGGCAGTATTTTAAAACTTATATTGAATACGTTAAAAATTGAGTTGTGAAACTTACGAGTACTGTGTTCATTTTTGCGGATCTTGTTGTACAATGATGGCTATGATTCAAGTCGGACTCTATTTATTAAGAAGTTGAAAATCGTTCAGCAAATAATATAATACGTCATTTGACTTATTATTGATCTAAGACTAATGTCATATTTCTAGCGGCAAGATCGTTATGTGTCACTAGCTTGTGTGCTAAAACAATTGATTGACCTTGACTTGACTTAGCGGTCAGCCGCCTAAGTCTACATCACCTGAAGATGCCTCGTGTAGAGGCGAAACACATCTCGTATTATCGCCGATGTTGTGTCTTTCCTGGAATAGTGGTATTGGGAGTAGTGGTGCCGGGAGTAGTGGTGTTGGGAGTAGTGGTGCTGGGACTAGTGGTGACGGGATTAGTGCACGCAATTGAGGGAGGGCGGGAGGTGCTCTTCAATCCAGGTAAGACACATCATTGTATTTAATTAAGCGGATGGTTGCGAATTAAATTAATATCTTTATTAACTTTTCTGTTTTAATTTATTCTACAAACATTTTCTTATCGGAAGTTAATAGCAGCATATGCTGTAAAAAATTAGAAGCATAACTAGAGTTAAAATAGCTAGATAAGGTTATTTCAATAATTTCCATAGCATTATGTGATATGGAATCTTGCTACAGGGTAATAAGAATGATATAAGATTTTGAAACTATCTTTGTTTTACAGAAGAGAGTCATAAGATCATTTAATATAAGTCCGTTTTTAAGTTTAAATTTTAAGTAAGTTTAATAGTAAGTCCGATGGAGTCTTTTTGACAATTTAAAGAAATAATTATTGAAATTTAATGTATATCTACAAAAACGAAAAGAATTTTATTAAGAATGGTGATGTGTATTTCGTAAATACAAGAAAAAGCTATTAATACCAGTACCTCGACTCCAACGAATCAGTAATTCCTTTCTGGGGGGGGTAATGTATACGCTTTTACAACAAAGTCCCGGAAAATATGCAAGATAAAATATAATAGTAAATACATATGAAATAGTTTTTATTGTATTAAAGTTCTATAAATGGGTTATTTTCTTTAATGTATTACATCGATAAAAACGTAAATATTTCATATTATCCCTTAGAATGAGGTGAACGTTCTAATGAATTAATTCAATCGTACTCTATGCGAACTGTTCTGATTATTGTGAATTTATCATTAAAATATGGTTTAAAAAAAGTACATCTGGGTTTTAAAAATGTAAATCAGGGCAGAGATTTTTCTGAACCAGTGATAATAAATAAATAAATGACTTTCAATAAATATTTCTGGTAATATATGCTGAATAAAACTATATCTTCTATTTTATAAATATTAGACATTGATTAAAACTACTTTTACGGATTTTATCGCGTTTATTTTACTATTATTTTTAATTTCCGACGTTTCGGGCGCTTTCCAGCACCCATGGTCACGGGGTAGCAGGTGGTAGCACCCAGCCAAAAAACATCCTAATTTCAATAGAGAAGATCTATATTGAAATTAGGATGTTTTTTGATTTCAATAGCCTCGCGAATCATACTTGGAAGGAATCGGTGTTCTTTAGCGAGGATTTGTGGTCTATCAAATCTGATGTAGTGACCGGGGGCGATCCTGTACGTGTTCACACACTACAGACTTGCCGAAGCGTCGACGCGTCGGGAAGTCTGCACTCTGTGAACTAATTTCAATAGAGAAGATGGCTGGGTACTACCATCTGCTTGGGATCCTATAATAAATAAAATTAAATCCCAACCCAAGCATACAACTGCAAGACTTCATGATACCATAAGTTCATACTGTGTAGGTCGGAACAAAAGTTAAATTTTAATCTATGGTAACCGCGGTTAACTATGACATCTGGACGTTGAACATCTCAATTCTTCCCGCGACCATGGGTGCTGTAAAGCTCTCGAAACGTCGGGTATTTAAAAAGTTAAATATACGCGATAAATTCCATAAAAACTAGTATTATTTCAATGGGAATAAAGGTTCTCGAGTGGCAGCCTCGTACGGCTAAACGAAGTTTAGGATGGTCCTCCACGATAAGAAGTAACGATCTGGTAAGACATGCAGGAACTTGTCATGCAGGTGGTTCAGCACCATGTTTTGTGGCATTCCTAGGATGAGACCTATGTTTAATAGTAGACTTGTAAATGACTGTAATGATAATTACGATAATGAATCGCTCATAATTGAATGTAATTGAATAAAAGCTTGTAAAAGTTACAGTGTGAGACATTAACAAAAAAATACATTCATAAATCGCACGCACTGTGGATGTTATTTAATGCTTATGGCTTTTGTGTGCAAAAAATTGTATGTTTACTTATAAATGTTATAGTTATATAGTTTTTAAGTTTTAAGTTACATATATACTTATTTAAATTCATCATCATGCCATTCTTTATTATCAGCTCGTTACAATAAACTACAAGACTTGAACCCCCTAAAAGCGCGTAAAATACGGAAGAACAGTTACAGACACCACCATTGGTCGGTCGCTAAGAAATCTTTCTGGTATTTCTAATGAACGTATTTCTCATATATGTTAGGTAACTTAAAACATCTACGACTCTATGAAGTGGGGTGATAGATTACTTAAATTGTCGCTACAAGACCAAGGTATTTAGAAAATGAATTTAAGAAATTACATAACTTTGAATTTATAGTCTAATCCAAGATTGATTAATTTATTCCGTAACTTAACATTGCTTAATATTTATTATATTAGTGCATAACAAAGTTCGGGCATTCTATCTTTGTCTTTTTTCACCTTTTTTTGAATAAATATAGTATTTTCTCAAAAAAAGCAAAAATATAGTAATTTTGAGAAATTTAGGAGTAAAAAAGTACCTACACATTAATTTTTAATGTTTATGTAAATTTCATATATTATATTTCTTATTAGCAAAGAGCGTGCTATGATACTATGACCTAATCACCTTACATTCTACCTTACCTTTAAAATAATTACAGGAGTCTGAGTTTAGATTTATATTAAAATAAATTAAAATTAATTTTTAACTAAATTAATACATGCACTTTTTCTTTCTTCTTTCAATTTTACATTCGTGATGGGAAAAATTCTTTCCGTAAAACTTACTTGTTCCAGACTTCCAAACACAGTTAATATAAAATTGCGCGACAGTTGAATTAGGGATAAAAATATAGTATTTTTCGTACTATATTATTTTTCTATAATATATAGATCAATTGACTGAAATAAAGTACGATACCATATATTATAGTACGAGTGGCAGCCCTAGAAAATACATCTAATTACTTTGGATGGTTTGCAGATGTTCATGGTTACTTACCTTCAAGTTGATAGTAGGCTTGTTTGTCATTATATTATATTACCTATTTATTCACTAAGTTTTAGTTGCAATCTTATCCCTAGAGCGACATCAATAGAGAGAACTATTTTGGGCAGTGATAAATTCTGATGAAATAAGAAACAGATACATTATTTTATCCGACCGGGATTTCCAGAATATGTCAAGGTGAAAACTCTCTAACTTATAAGTCTGAAAAGCACAAGATTAGTTTCGATCCTTTTCACTGCCACTCCTAGGGTCGCAGATATTTACTAATATATTCTGGAAATAAAAGTAAAAAGTCACAGCCTCAATTTCTGCTCAGCTCATTTCTGAGATGGCTTTGGAACAGGACAAACTTTGTTGCGCTGCCCTGATGCACGACGGTGTATAATTTCAAAGGCCTTTAATTTATTTAATTTCGCTAACATGTGAATTTCTTCACGATGTTTCCTTTTATCGCTGAGCACGTGGTAAATCAACACTTTAAATTACAATGAGCAATTTATTAAGTGACGGTGGAATCGACTCATTTAGTAAACTTTATATGTATCTTAGGCAGGCTATCGTCTATTTCGTTAAGATTATCTCGCATCTACTGAATAAATATATATCTATGTATAAATGAAGAATAAATTACTGTACATTTGTTTCGTATCAGAGATTAATTTAGTAATAAGATCTTTTTTTTATAGGATAAGGGTGGCAAACGAACGCAAGTCCACATGATGGTAAGTGGATTCTGTAGCCTATAGACATCTAGGTAATTCTGATTAAATATTCCTATGCCCGTTTCCAGTAAAAACGGTCTCCGATTCTCTATATCTCACCATACGAAATGCTATTATTCTGTGAGAGCGTGGCCCTTTCCTGACGAGCCGATCCATTCATGTTACAACCGTAACATAACTGCGGCATGGCCATACCGCGTACAAAATAAGCGAAGTAAATTCACTAGGATAATGCTAAATCATAACTAGAGTCGAACCTCAACCCATTGTACCCATCGCTGCGTATTCGTAACACTCAGATCAATCACAAAGATCCTACTTTAATTTAGCTAAGTATTAAAAATATGAAAATCATACCAAGTATGTGTTAGCCTGTAAGATTTTTGATACTCATTTTCAAAAATAATATATTTTATTATTAATGTTCAAAAATGCCAAATTGAGCAATCTTAAAAATATATGTAATAATAAATTCATGTACCTTCTATGAAATATAAACCAAAATCAATCTTTGTTTTTCAGAGAATAAACATTACTATTTACCATTTATATTCAGACAGAACATCGCGAAGACGGATTTCCATAGCGGTGTAACCATGTATGCATTTTTCGTGGAGTATAGAGTATATATCTGCCTTGCACGATATCAAAACAAGGTAGCAGACTTAGTTCTGCAGCATATGCTGCAAATAGATTAGAACTCTTACCAGTTTTAAAACAGCTAGACTAGTATACTTTAGCTATTTCCATAGTATAATGTCATATGGTATTTTGCTATGGGGACACGCGACTGATACTGAAATTATATTTATTTTACAGAAGAGGGCCATTATAGCAATCTATAATTTAAAGCCTAAAGAGTCGCTCAGACAAAAATTTAAGGAAATTAATGTATTAACTTTGGCCTCTCAATACATTTATGAAAATGTAATCTACGTACACAAAAATAGAAGTAGTTTTACAAAT